GATCATGCACCGACGTTATATTTATAATGAGGCAAGATAAATCACAAAAATACAACAAACTGGCATATCTATTTTTCGTGGATCTAAAGAAGGCAGCTGACCGGATCAAATTGGACGTTATCCACTTATTATACGCAAGAGGGATACCTTTAGGAATAATCAAAACGATCGAAAATATCTACCAAAACAACACAATAAAAGTAAAAGTAGAAGAAGAACTAACTCACCCTATTAAAGCTGGCAATGGGATAAGACAAAGAGATTCTCTGAGTCATCTATTGTTCAATCTGTTTATGCATGAAATAGTAAAAAAAGTAAGAACTAAAAAGAACTACTCGTAATGGTTGTAAAAATTTTATTTGGATTATAGTTCCCGAATTTTTTTGATATTATTTTTAATTTAAGTACAGGGTTACGCAATTGAACTGTTACCAACTTCACATCGATATATCTGGCAAATCGATAATGACAGCTATGTCAAAGTTGGCCTGATAACACTTCAGTATATTGTTTATAAGCCGTCAAAGGCATTTGCATTTAAGTTTTATACATACAACAAAAGTTATTCGCAATGGAATTTAAACGTAATAGTGTGATTGCGTTATATTTGGCTGGAAAATCACAACCAGCTGTTGTTCGTCAGCTCAACTACCTCAAAGTAAATAAAATGTTTGTGTATCGCACCATAACTCGTTATAGTGATACTGGTAGCATTGCCAAACGCTATGGTGGTGGACGAAAAAAAAAACAGCAGATCACCTGAAATGGTTCGGAAAGTGAAGGCTCGACTTAAACGAAATCCATGTCGTAGTGGTAATCAAATGGCCAAAGAACTGAAAATATCTAAGCGAAGCATGCAACGAATATTGAAAAAGGAGCTCAAGGTCAAGCCTTACAAGTTTCAAAAAGCACACAATCTTACACTAAAGCAAAAAAAGTTCGACTTAAAAGAGCAACGGAGTTGTTACGCCTGCACGAAAGTGGCGAATTTCCGAACATAGTGTTCTCTGATGAGAAAATTTTTCCTATTGAGCACTTCATAAACTCTCAAAATGATCATGTTTACTTGACCGAACGCACCTACGAAAGTTTCAGCTTACCAACGGCCACCCGAAGTAATTTCCCATCTCAAGTAATGGTATGGGCAGCTGTAACCGCCGATAGACGCTCTCCAATCGTTTTTATTAAATCTTGTGTCAAAGATAATGCAACTTATTATCGAGAAAATGTTTTAGAAGCTGCTTTAGAGCCGTGGGCACGCAAACCTTTCGGTTGTAGACCATGGACGTTTTAACAAGACTCGGCACCGTCTCATAAAGCTAGTGTGAACCAAGAATAATTAAAAAACCATGTTCCACACTTCATTTCATCCACACAATGGCTTTCGAATTCGCCAGACGCTAATCCGATGGACTATTCCATCCGGTCCATTTTGGAGAGCAAGGTGAGGACTAAAAAATATGCCAGTATGGATGCGCTGAAGAACGCAATTATACATGAATGGGCCAAAATAACGGAAGATCACATTCGTGCAGCATGCAACTCGTTTTTTGATCGTTTGAAGGCCATAGTCAAGTCAAAATGTGGCCACATCGAGGTAAAATGAGTGGATTCTGAAATTTTGATTATTTTCACATATTTCTGTCATGTGAATCAATAAAAAATAATTTCACACAAAAAAATTATGGTCGTTTGAATAGGTAACAGTTCAATTGCGTAACCCTGTAGTAGTTTTGGAATTAATTTTTATTTTATTTCATTTTTATCGAAATAATTTTATTTTCACAGCTACTACTTCTAAAAATAGCTAAACAGTCAGGTTTTAAATATATTATTTCGAAATAATGTCTATAGCATGCTCAGGGATATTAGGATTTTTACAAAAAAGTTATAAGGATGCATAAAAAGATGTGTATTTATTGAAGGTAAAACCACAACTTCTTCAAAAACAACTAACTGATACCGTTTGAATTTATCTCAGCCTGTGTATAGGATAACATAAACATATTAACATCAACCACTTAATATTCTGTTAGGTCGCAGGTGGTTACTATATCCCCCGCATACCCCATAGGCGTCACCGTAGGAATTATGGCTTGTTACAGTCTCCCCCTGGTATCAAACTCGTTGGGAGGAGGGGCCAGTAGAAGATGCAGGTTTCTTGCTGGAGCGTCCTCGTCTTCGTCTTAGCACTCACATGCGTTGAAGCTTCAACATCGCTTAGGTTAGCATGTGTAAGAGCGGGTACGTGGAACACACCAATGGCAGTAAAGGTTTCCACTCCAGAAAGCTTGTAACTCACAGGCAATACTACTCGCTTGATTCTATAGGGTCCATTCTCTTCAGGTAGAATTTAGCTGTCTGATCTTTCGAGCTATTATTAGGAACTGTTGCATTGGCCCATACTAAATCTGCTTTGATTAGACTAGGTTGCTTCAAATGGGGATCAGCATATTTATTTTGTCTATTTTGGGCGTTGTCGTGTATCATCTTCGATTCAGACTTTTTCATCCATTTCCTCATGGTAATCTCCACTTTTCTTTGATTCAAAACTCCATAGAGCGTCAGGAACAAATCCGTCTTCGCTGCCTATGTGACAAATAATCAGTCGCTTTCCTTTACCTAGAAATTCAAATATTATTTATCAATTTCAATGTTTAACAAAAAATATTACCTGATGAATTTTTCAGACCTGTCGAGAGTGCATCCAAAATTGCTTGTCTTGATGAGGTGACTGACTTATCAATCCATGTTTTTGATTTAGTATGACCGGCGTTAATCCTATTCTCATCTAAATAATATATTTTGCGATTGTCATTTCTATGATATTTTATCTGCCTTAAAAATTCTCTTCTCCAGATTACAAGGTTATCTCTGTCCGTTAGCATACTGTTCCTGCCACGTTTTTCAAATTTGAATTAAAGTTTTTTCAAAATCTTGTAAAAAGTAGTACGTTTTAAATCAGGTAGATTGGGGTCGTCGTTGACCTGTTGTAGAACTCTATCTATCGTGGGAATTTCATTTTTAAAAAAGATTTGATGCACTGCACTATTCTTCTTATCGCTACCTTGTCAAAATCATCTACAGATTCGAGTTTGCCTTACGAGTGGTACATTTTTTTGGTGCAACTAATGTGTGTGTGTGTAGATTTATATTCTCTAATAACTCTAAACAGAACTATGCGATAATCCAACTTTATCAGCTACTCTTTTCTCAACAGCGGACAATATTAACGCCGGATTTTCTTGTAACTCGTGCTTATACACGTTTACAATGATTTCTTTAACGTCTACGCTTAAATAGCCTTTTTGGATTCTTTTTGGGAGGAGATAAAGGTATGTTTACCAGTTCATCGGCAGAATCCGTGTCTGACATATTAATTTGTTTTAGTGACTGTATACAAATCTGTAAAGTATTAGTTACAGGCTAATATTCTAATAAAATAATAGATACTAGATAGATAATAGATAATTGAACAGATATATTAAAAAGGTCAATACTCACAATCTAATCTTTATTTTCAAGGTGTTACAGAAGCGACCTATTTCGAGGCTTACAATATTTGCCTCATCCTCAGGCAAAGCAAAGAATTTGTTTTGTTAAAAGACAATAATATAGATATCGGCAATAAGAAGTTTTCCATTTACATCCAGGGTACTGTTTGTCTTCATATTTTCCTTTATGGCACTATCTATTGTAGTGAGGTGATATGTTGATCATTATACATGTATGTAAATAAAAGGCTCTTGGGCATATGGTTGAGCATTAACGTGTTCTAACTGTGTAACTGTTGTTAAAGGTTGTTGTCTTTGATCCTTAAAATACTTCTTGGATGTTCTAGTTTTTGTTGTCAAAGTTTTTTTATTATTAAAAAGGTAGGATTATCTTCTGGTTTGTAATAAAATTAAAAGTAGAACCTAATATAAATATAATTAATAAAGACCTAAAGGTCTTCACCTTGTAAGACCTTTTATTTACATACATATATAATGATCAACATATCACCTCACTACAATGATAGTGTCATAAGGAAAAGATGAGGACAGACCTGGATGTAAGCGGAAAACTTCTTATTGGCGATATCTATATTATTATTTTTTTAATAAACAAACTCTTTACTGGGCCTGAGGATAAGGCAAATATTGTAAGCCTCGAAACCGATCGCTTCTGTAAAACTTTGAATGTAAATATTAGATTGTGAATATTGACCTTTTTAATGTATCTGTTCAATTATGGACTCACACTTGCAACCCTTTTATCATCATAATAGATAATAATTATTATAATAGAGTCAAAATAATATTAAATTTACTTACTTAAGTTGATAGAAAACAGCAAATATCTTAAACATGTTCACATTTCTAAGTTTATTTAAATAACACTATAATTATAAACCAACACTATAATTATACCAACACACACATAGAGCTATTAAAAGTAAAAATTATATTTATATAATTAAATTCAACAGACATAAATGTGATTCGTAGGATTACTGAATCCATATCTGTTAAAACTGCAAGTTCTGCGTCTTTGTTTAGAGGTGTAGATTGTCGTTACTTGTGAATTTCTACTTGTTACTTTTGATACGATTTTGTATATAATCAGTTACAGTATAAGTGATTTTGTAACAAGTAGATACCTCTTCAGCATCTCTAGATATTAGGAATGAATTGATCACGCGTCTTCATATTTATATTTTACTTTTCTGTTAGGCGAATATAATTTTATACAATATTTATTTCTAGCCTAAATACTAATATTGAATTTTATACAGCTCTAGCTGATTATTTGCGTTTGTCAGGTGAACCTAATATAAAATAAGATCACAAAACATGTTTTAAAATGTATACCAGGATTAAGGGATCTTCCATCTCTGTTTAGTTAAGTGTGGCCCTATAAACTCACCTTGCTTTATCATAATTTACTATTCTCGATTTTAGCGCTCCTCTAATTTTTCGTCTTTTATGTTTCAGATTTGGTTGCAATGAGCTGAAATGATGAATCAGTGCGCCTTTGTGAGCTGTCTACTGGTTATCGCGCTTGTGTACTCGAACTTAAAATCAGTAGTGGCGGACGGCAATACAAATTTCCAGTTCACTAAACACCTGTACAATGTCAGCATCCCCGAGAACAGTATCGCCAAGACTTACGCCACCCAAACACCCGGATCGGATCTTATGGGAATCCGTCTCCCTCCAGACACGTTCTACGACATCCGATATAAGATAGTAGAGGGGGACAAAGACAAATTCTTCAAAACAGAGCATAGAATAGTGGGTGACTTTTGTTTCCTGTTCATCAGAATTAAAACAGGGAATAACGATGTACTCAACAGAGAACGCAGAGACAAATATAATCTACAAGTACGAGCATCTGCTTTTCTCAAAGAAGGAAAGCAAAAAGTCCAGTTTACTACAGACACCACCGTTGCAGTTACAGTTACAGACACCAACGATCTTAATCCCCTGTTCTATCCTACAGAATACAACGCCACTGTTTTTGAAGACACCCCAGTTCATCAAAGTATCCTGAAAGTAGTTGCTGAAGATGCAGATCTCGGTAGAAATGGAGAAATCTACTACAGTTTCATTGAAGACACCGAAAAGTTTATGATTCATCCCATAACTGGTATAATATCTCTAACGAGACCATTGAGATATAACGAGGGATCCTATCACGAATTGACTGTATATGCACAAGATCGAGGTGCTTCTACTAAAAGCGGTTTTGGTATGGTTAGTAAAGCTAAAGTAAGAATAAGAGTGCAGAAAGTAAATTTCCATGCCCCAGAGATTAAAATAAGACGACATCCAGAGATAGTTGAAAATTCAAATGCTGATATTTACGCCATCGTTAATGTTGCCGACAAAGATAGTGGAATTCACGGAGAAATCGCCAGTTTGGAGATAGTTGATGGAGATCCAGATGGACATTTCAGAATACGACCGACGAAACAGCCAGGCGAATATAATATAGAAGTTTTAAAGTTACTTGATAGAGAAACTGCTCCAAATGGATACATTTTGCAATTAAGAGCTGTAGATAAAGGAATTCCTCCAAAAGAAAGCTACAAATCTGTTCACGTTATTCTTGCCGATTTCAACGACAATGCTCCAGTATTCAATAAAGAAATTTACGACATTAAAGTTCCAGAATCAGCTCCCGTAAATACACCTCTGATTAGACTGAAAGTAACCGACGCCGACGAAGGAAAGAATGCTCAAGTTTATCTAGAGATTGTTGGAGGTAACGAGGGCGGAGAATTCAGCATAAATTCTGAGACGGGAATGCTTTACACGGCAGTGCCTTTGGACGCAGAAAACAAACAATTTTATAGCCTCACCGTCTCTGCAATTGACCAAGGGAACGTTGCGACACGGAAACAGTCCTCAGCGAAAATAAAAATCTACGTGGAAGATACGAACGATAATGATCCAATATTCGAAAAAGCTGAGGCCGTAGTCTGGATAGACGAAAATATGCCAGCAGGGGCTTCGGTCACGACAGTGCATGCCAAAGATAAGGATAGAGGAGAGAACGCTTATATTTCTTATCTTATCGCTAATCTGAACAAAGTCCCGTTTGAAATCGACCATTTTTCTGGGATAATTAAAACTACGATGCTACTAGATTATGAGAGCATGCGAAGGGAATATGTGTTGCGCGTACGAGCGTCCGACTGGGGACTTCCTTATCGACGACAAACCGAGATGCAGCTTACCGTAAAAGTGAAAGATATTAATGACAATAGACCACAATTCGAACGAGTTGACTGCTTCGGCCACGTCCCTCGTAACATGCCTATCGGCTCAGAAATAATAACTCTTTCTGCTATCGATTTCGACGCCGAAACTCTGATAGAATACCGAATCGTTTCCGGCAACGAAGACGGATGCTTTTCCATCGACGCTACTTCGGGCACTATCAGCGTAAGCTGCGACCTCAACGATATCAAAGTAGGCGAAAGAGAGCTGAACGTTACAGCAACAGATAACACTCATTTCGCCGATATAGCCAGGGTCCGTTTCAAGTTCGTCAACGGTAAAAGAAAAGTGTCGGCGAGCGGAAAATCTTTTAGTGACGAGTTAGAACAATTCGACTGCAGGGATACCGGAGTAGCCCGAAAATTAACCGAGATTTATGCGGATGCCGAGCATAATAACAAGCCTTCGACGCAGGAGGAATTCCCAATGATGCCGACTCGCTACGGCCTGAATGTGCACTCTCCCGAATTCTTAGATTTCCCCGTTCAAATTAAGGTGAACGAATCTGTTGCTCTTGGCACCACGTTAATTAAGTTACGCGCTCGAGACCGAGATTTGGGATATAACGGCAAACTACTTTTCGGAATATCCAGCGGAGATTTGCGATCACAGTTCTGCATCGACATGGAAACTGGAGAACTGAAAGTAATTGGATACTTGGATAGAGAACGAGACAGTACATACTTCTTGAATACTTCTGTGTACGATCTGGGAAAACCGCAAAAATCGTGGTCGAGGATCCTGCCTATAACCGTACTCGATGTTAATGACAATCCTCCCCGGTTCGAGAAAACTTTGGCAAGCTTTAGAGTTACTGAAAATGCCTTAAATGGAACAGCTATATTCAGAGCCAATGCTACAGATGCCGATGAAGGTGACAACGCTAAAATTACCTACTCTTTAGTTACAGACACCAAAGACTTTTCAATAGACCCAACTAACGGTGTCCTCACAGTTTCTAACGCTCTTGATAGAGAACGACAAGACTTATACGAACTAAAAATCAGAGCTACCGATGGTGGCGGTAAAGGGCCAGAGAATCCTCCTCTCTACTCCGAAGCTTTAGTGAGAATATCTATTGATGACATCAACGACAATCCTCCTAAATTTAGCTTACCTAATTATCTTGTTAAAATACGAGAAGACGTGCCAAAAGGAACAGTGGTGGCGGTTATTTCGGCTTCAGATCCAGATCTCGGCAGTGAAGGAGAGATCGTTTATTCCTTGGAAGACAGTGATAACGAAAAGGCGTTTAAGATCGATAACTCCTCCGGTACGATCCGTACTACAAAGCTTCTGGACTTCGAGGAACGTCAAGTGCATAGTTTGGTGGTTTACGCTAAAGATAAGGGCAATCCTTCGCTTTCGTCTGAAGCCAGTGTCACGATAAACGTGGTGGACGTGAACGAGAACATGCACGTGCCGCAGTTCGGAGACTTTGTGTTGTCGGGAAAAGTGATGGAAAATTTGCCAGTAGGCAGCTTTGTGATGCAAGTGAATGCTACCGATGCCGATCCCCCCGGTGGCGATAGCACCATTGAATACTCCATTAGAGGTGGCGATGGAATAGGGATTTTCTCCGTAGACAACAAAGGTGAGTCTAAATTTATTATTGCGAGTCAGGTCGTATCAAAGGAGTTTTCTGTTGATAATAGATGTTCGGCAATTCTTTATAATATCTATTCAAAGAGCTTTTATTATGTTCCTACGTCTGGATATTAATATTCTCGAAATAAAGGTAGCGTAAAAGCAATGTAGGAATTGAATTTTGAACTAATAAGGAAGTGGTATAATTTGCCATAGGCGTACATGTCTTCATTGAATTTTATACGAAAGGGATATAATATTAATTATTGAAATATAAATGGTTATTCGGTTTATTCTTGTTCTTAACAGATTTTTCTTTGTCCTTAGCAATATTTAACAAAATGTGCTTTTATTATCCTGATTATTTTCACATTTTTTCACATTCTTACATTCTTGTACATATTTAATAGCTAATCCATGGTGTTTCCACGTATATTTTTAATACCTTTGTTCCTACTATTTTTCCATTATGTCTCTGATATTATTTTATTTGACCTTTCGTTGTTGTTGTAAAAATAATGACTATGAAGCGTACATAATTAAAGTAAGTGTACAAATAATGGGTCCCTTAAGCAAACAAACATGTTTTTCTTGCCTCTAGGTAATGTTGAGGTCTTGATTTTTTAAGGAAAGCATTTGTAGGTAAGGAAAGTGAAGTATATGAAGTTACTGTAAAGTAAAAATTAAGAGGAGGAATGATTTTAGTTAGAGCAGTTATGTTTAGAGTGTGGAAGTTACTGTAGTATTGTAAATGATAAAAAAAAGAGATTCTGATGTGTGATTTGCTGGACATAGGCCTCCCACAGTTCTTTCCAGTGTTCTCTACACTGGGCCGCTTGTAGCCAGTTTCCCGCTACTCCCGTTTTATATCATCGGTCCATCTAGTCGGTGGTCGTCCTCGGCTTCTCTTATAGTTTCTGGGCCTCCATGCCATAATACGTCTTGTCCACCGTCCATCTTGTGTTCTGGCTAAGTGACCTACCCAGTTCCACTTGAGCGTCGTGGTTCTTTCGATGACGTCTTGAACTCCTAATCTTTGCCTGATTTGTTGGTTTTTTATGTGGTCTCGAAGGCTCACGTTTCAGCATTGCACGTTCCATGGCTCGTTGTGTAACTCTGAGTTTATTCGCAGATTTTTGCGTGAGTGTTAAAGTCTCTGCTCCATAAGTTTGTACAGGCAAAACACATTCGTTATAAACCTTTTGCTTGAGACACATGGAATTGAAATTTTTAGAATATTGCTTAATTTGCCAAATGCTGCCCATGTCAGGCCTATTCGCCTCTGTATTTCGTGTGTTTGATTGTCTCTGCTTATTTTAATCTCGTGTCCCAGATATTTGTAAATGTCTGTTTGTTTTATGGTATTATTGTCAATAGTTACATTTCCACTCATTACAAGATTTGTCATAAGTTTAGTTTTCTCAAAGTTTATCTTTAATCCTGCTTTTTCAGACAGACTTTTAAGCGAATGTTTCATAGAAACTGTATCCTGTAAGTTATCTGCGATTAATACAACATCATCTGCAAACTTTAGATGATTTAATCTTTCTCCATCTATATTGATGCCCATATATTGCCATTGAGTCTTCTTAAATATTGACTCTAGAGCTGCCGTGAACAATTTTGGTGAAATATTGTGTCCTTGTCTAACTCCTCGACCTAAGCTGAATTTTTCTGTGTCTTCGTGTAGTCGTATACTTGATGTAGCGTTCTCGTAGATATTTTTGATTAGTGTCGTGTACCTGTAATCTATTTGGCTTTGATTTAGGGCTTCCAGTACTGTTTCAAACTTTACAGAATCAAGACTTGGCTTTAGATGCACCATAAAATTATCTGGGTGTGTGAGTGTAAGGGGATGTATATGAGTGAGGGATTATACTTATTGTGTGGTTGTGAATTAGTTTATAGAGGGAATAGAATTATCTGATCTGAATCTACTTATGGTATATTCATGAGTGATGAACATCGGGTCAGAGGTGAAATTTAAAAATATTGGAACAAAGTTGGGGAATGATGGATAAGTTAAATGCATTTAGAAAGAGTGGCTGCGTGTGGACTGAGAAGGATGAATAAATGGCAAAAGGAGAAAGATTAGTGGGAGTTTGGTGTAAGAGAAGATGTAGAGGATATGAGTCATGAGAATAGTTGGCGATGGAAAAGTAGAAAGTCTCGATGGAATGAGACATAGCACTTAAACCAGTTTGGACTTCTCTGGTTTTCTTTCATAATTTCAAGGTCTTCATATAAGTCAAGTTTTAAAAAGTTTTTTTTGGGCAATATTGTGAATAAAAGATACGTCGTCTGGGATATTAAGAGTGTGGTTATGTTCTTTTAAATGTTGAGAGTAAGTGGAAGTGTTTATGATTTTTGTTTTTGTCAAGTTCATTTTTAGGCCAACTTAACTGCTAACTGCATTTAGGCCGCTTATAAGTTCTTGTAGTTCTGCAGAATTATTAGCAATCAGAACGATATCGTCTGCAAATCTTATATGGCTGACGTATTCTCCATCAATGGATAGGTCTTTGTTCTGTCAGTTTATTTTGCTGAATATATTTTCTGGAGTTGTAGTGAAGAGCTTTGGTGTTATGTATGGTAGCTTTTGCTTGTCTGTATATATTTGCTAAAGTCTCTATGTACGGTTTGTCAATGTGTTAATTGGTCAAAGCCTTGGAGAATCGGAAGCCTTTTCGAAATCTATGTAGGTTAATGCCTATCAATAATCATATTCTTTAGCTCTACTCAATAATTCTCGGAAGCTTATCGCCCGATGATTAGGGCGACTTATGTCTTCGTGGACGTAGGATTCGTTGGCAGAGCTGGCTGACTTTTTAGACCAGCTATGACTGCTGTGGAGATTTTAATGGTTAAAACAGGTAGAGAAACTACCAATATTTAATCCTATATATATATATATATATATATATATATATAGGTCTGATGTAAATGTAACTATTTAACTTTTGCTTAAACGTTTCGGCAAATTTGCCATTTTCAATAAGCTGTTTATTTTATTTGTATAAACATTACATTTTACAATTAAATTTCATGTTTACACTTTTTTAAAAAGTTTAAACTTTAAATCCATGTTAAACTTTTAAAAAAGATGTAGTGTTTATTAAATAAAATAAAGTGCTTACTAAAAATGGCAAATTTGCCGAAACGTTTAAGCAAAACGTTAAATAGTTTTATTTACATCAGACCGACAAATCCAGGAAATAAAAAAGTTTCTATTTAAATATTCTCGGTCATATAAATATACTAAAATCATATACTATATATATATATATATATATATATATATTATATATATATATATATATATATATATATTATATATATATATATATTATTTTGTATATATCTGTTTTTTGTTTGTTATTGAGGTAATCTATACAGTTAGAAATGCAATATAGCCGAATAGTATATATTATATTATAATAGGAATGTTTTGACCATATCCTGCACACTGCTCCATATTCCAGTTTTCAAACAAAATAAACAAAAGCAAAACATATTCCGCTTCCTGTTATATATTACTCTCGAAATAAGCTTCGTGGTTTTTGTCGATGTAAATTACGCACTCATTAATAATATATATACATGGAAAATATCCATTATCAAATATTTTCATCTCATCATTTATTACCAGATAACAATATTGATTGAAACTAAAAATGTAGAATATCAAATGCATATAACAAACATAATTTATTTATCCAAATAAATTTACTCATCTTGTAAAACAAATTAGTACCTTTGTTTAGTTTAGTATAATAATGGTCAAGAGAATTTCTTAGAAAAGAAAAATAACCTACATGGCGAGTTTCCAACACGAGACCAGTTAAACTTTCACTTGAAAGGTTAGCTATATGCACACCTCGCTACCGAGACATATTGATAATAGTTGCCATTCTTATCAGTCATTTGTCGGACCACCTAGTAAGGTAAGGATATTTAATTTTTGGAGTATGCTGGATAGAAGATTACCATGTTTTCCTCTTACCGTAATTACTAGATCATCCACGTAGGCCTGCACTTCTACTCCCTGTGCGATATCAAGTCATCCACCAGGAGTGATCGTAGGAAGGGAGAAAGCACTCCCTCCGGTGGGCACTCCTTAGATGTTTTGGACAAAATCTCCTCTCCTTGCAGGTCTGTTAGAATCAGCCTACTTTCATAATTGCTTTGGTCCAGTCGCATACGGTAGATCATATCTCTTTTGATGCTGCTGCATCATACAGAGAAGTTGATAATGGAATAAAGAGAGTTCTACTAAATTTGCTAATTCGGCGGTAGGATCATTAAATACTCCTTCTATATCGAGAAAGGCGGTTAATGCAATATCTTCATTATTAATGGAATGACTGATTTTATCAACTATTTCGTATAGTGCCGAATGTGTTTATTTTCGTTCTTGATATGTATGCTGGCTGACATTGAAAGGATAACCCTCTCAATAACCCCTCCTTAATATGTCTATCAAGAATTTTTTCTATTGCCTTCTACAGAAATGGTGTATTGGCCTGTAGGATTTAGGTAGGGGTTGCCTTGTTGTCTTATATTGTGTATGTACACCACCCTTATAGTTGGGTCCAAGTCTTGGTATATAACCTAGGCCTAGGCTAGTCCTAAAGATCTTTGTTAAGTGGGCATAAGATGTCCAATCCTTTTTGTAGTAAGTCAGAAATATTCCATCTCCCCTTGAGATTTAAATGGAGAAAATGGTTTATGGCCTACTTTAAATTCTCCGGTTTGATGTTTATTGTAGAGAATTCCCAATCTTCTTACTCTACAACGTCTAGGTCGGTCTACGTTTTCAACCTGAGCTTGCCCATCAAAATTGTTGATCCTTGGGATCCCTTCTGTAGTAAGAACTCTATCATTTTCTTTTTAGATTCGGCAAAGGTGCCGTCAGGCCTTATCCAGTAATTTTCCTGTATATTTCACAGTTCCCCAACTCTTGTGCTTTATTCGATAGCCTCCTTATTTCTTCGCTAAGTTTTTTCAGTTTTCCGTTCCACCAAGTCGTTTGTCTTTTTTCGTCTTAGTTTTGATTGGGCAGTTCTCCTGATATAATGTAAGTGATTCGAACTGGACGGTTCTTTCGACACATGTCAGTTAACAAGTTTGTTACT